CCGTGCGTGCATGGAGTGAGGCAGACCAGAGACGAAATCGACTGACGGGTGGGACCTGAGATAGCTGGGGAGGGGTCGAGGTTGCAGGAGACCCATGGGGCGATGGTGAGAGGACTTCACTCGACAACAGATGAGACAGGTGGCAATGAACTCCCTGACATCCTGGACCAACAGCTAACATCAAAGTGTTCCAGTCAAAACTAAACACAACCATGGCTGACAACCTTAATTATGTTCTAGTAACATCAAAAACTAGTAAATACGTATGTTGTCAAATGATACTACATCATGACATACACGTCAACTTCCAAGTTCAACATGTTCCAAAAATCAAATTTAAGTGCAATTCAACTGCAATTTCTTTTGTTCATCAAATATGTTGATCAAAAACTTCCCAGTTTTCATTAGTCGTCCTGAGTCATCAGTTGGACTCAGCCTTTAGCTGCAGCTGCACACTCGATCAGCATTTGATGTTAATTGGATTCAGGAAGAGAGGGGTTATAGCTTTTCATTTCAGTGCCTGTGTGAAGAAAAGCTCATCTGGCATTGATGGGAATGACTTGCACGCAGGCACACATACATTATGAATTACTATACAGTATGTCCCAAGAGATGAGATGATGACTTGTGGCCTCCTTTCCGTGACTGTCTTGGGACTTACATAAGTAAAGCATGGGGGTTGCGGGATGGTACAGGTTGTTTATGTACATTCGCCAGATGCTTCTGCTGGTCCACTTGCACAGTCTAAATGAATTCAATACCATACCTACAAGACCTACTTGTATTCAAATATTCTGCCAATGCAAATTTAATTTTGATTGAAACTGTCCAAAAGATATTCATTTCACAAAACGCAGCAATATTATGGTTCCAGTTTTTCCACCGGATGTGCAAAGATGCAAACTACACACAGGGAGGCCAGAGCCTGAATCAAACCCCGCACCTCTGCACTATGATGCCGACGCGCTAACCAGTCGACCACCTGGCTGCACTATTTTGTATTATTTCATGAATAATGCATTTGTTACGATTTTTTTTACTGCGGATTGGATATCACTTGACTCATTTTTAAAGATGCTCTAGCAATAATAGTTACCATTGTTTGCTTAACAAGTATAGGTACACCAAGATTTGCATCAACGCCACAGCAAACTACAACAACAATAAACATCCTGTTCAGTGTGACAATGACATTCCATGTTCCCCGCAGTTTAATTACGCGGTGATGAAATGCAAAGATTAACCCTGATGCAATGCGTGCCCAACCCCGGTCTCTATTGATGAGGGAAGTCCTTCATTTGATTGTCGATTTTAAATAGCCAGCAAGAGTGAGGCATTCATTTTGGATGGAACCATCGATCACCCCACAGTCAACTGTGAATAGCAAATCAATGACTTGAACATATGAACAATGACCTTTGAGTGACTGCAGGGTCAATGCATGGCTGATCTATAGTCATTACCAAGTGAACTTATTTTTCACATCCTTTGCACTGGCGAGTGACGAGAGCTTTGGTGTTGGTAGGTGCCCTTTGATGGCTTTACATTACATTAAACCTACCGGTACTGTCGTTCCAGTAAATCACTTAATTGCTCACGTTTATGTCTTTGAGTAGCTTTGTGCACTATTGACCGCAGAGACATTTCATTGATATTCAAAGGACTAACTGCCTTCAATTAGTTCAAGTGCTATTCATCTGATATACAGTACTGTGGCTAGTCTTCGGTTGCCACTACGGTAACATTGTTTTGTAATTACCGGTAACCTTAATCACACCATATAATTGAACGTAAATCAGAAAACAGTAAGACAGATGACGGTCTGGTGGTCCAGTGGTTAGCGTGTCGACCTCACAGTGCAGAGGAACCGGATTCGATTCCAGCTCCGGCCTTCCTGTGTGGAGTTTGCATGTTCTCCTCGTGCCTGCGTGGGTTTTCTGGGTACTCTGGTTTCCTCCCACATTCCAAAAACATGCATGGAAGGCTGATTGAACACTCCAAATTGTCCCTACGTGTGAGTGTGAGCGCGGATGGTTGTTCGTCTCTATGTGTCCTGTGTTTGGCTGGCAACTGGTTAAGGGTGTCCCCCGCCTACTGCCCGAAGACAACTGGGATGGGCTCCAGCACGCCCTGCGACCCTTGTGAGGATAAAGCGGATCAGAAAATGGATGGATGGATGGTAAGACGGATCCATTTAGCACGATTAAGAAAAAATGACAAACCAAACTTTGCAGAAAGTTGGTGCATGAGTAAGAAAACTTGGTGAGAATCTGGATAAAAATGTAGGTACATGAATGTATTTTAAAAATAATTTCGCTAAGACATACTCGTGGCCCAGGGTGAATTTTAGCAAAAGGTCCATTTGCTAAGACAGGATCTCCTAGGCTTTGCTGTTCAGTTTTTTTTTTTACATCAAATTTTAAAATAATTTGCATGGAGGAGGATATATTGTAGAGATCCTGTAGACTTGGGCCCCTTGCCCCCTTATCTTAAGTCAACAGTCTCAAACTTGGGTCTTAAACTGGACAGTAATTTCAAACTTGACCGGCAAGTGGTGCCGTTGTTAAATCCAGCTTCTTTCACCTTAGACAGCTGGCCAAAGTAAAACCTCTCCTCTCTCATGAACACTTTGAGACAGTAATTCATGCCTTCGTCACATCCCGGCTCGATTACTGCAATGCCCTTTACTTTGGAGTGAGCCAATCCTCTGTTAAGCGTCTCCAGCTGGTCCAGAATGCCGCTGCTCGCCTCTTGACTGGTACTCGTAAGAGGGAGCACATAACGCCTACTCTGGCATCCCTTCAATGGCCCCCTATACATTTTAGAGTTATTTTCAAGATCCTATTATTTGTCTTCAAATCTCTAAATGACCTCGCGCCACCTTACCTCTTTGAGCTCATCCGGCCCTACACACCTGCCCGGCGCCTCAGGTCTGCGGACCAGACATTATTAGAAGTACCAAGAACTAAACGGAGGCTCAGAGGGGATCGAGCCTTTTCCGTTGCTGGTCCCTCTCTCTGGAATGACCTCCCACTGAACATTCGGCAAGCCTCCTCGCTGCCCATCTTTAAAACCCGCCTCAAAACTCACCTGTATTCTTTGTCATTTGACTCAACATGACTCAGATTTGTTCTTGGTTTTGCTGTTCGGTGCTTTCTACCGTCTTTATTACCGATTTGTTGCTTTACTGTTGTATATGTTAGTAGCTCCATGTCCAGCACTTTGTATGCAGCGATGGCTGTCTGAAAGTGCTCTATAAATACAGTTGAGTTGAGATGTCACTTCTTAGAACAAATCTAAACAAATTCAGATGCAAGGAATAAAAGGAAAGAAGCTTCAGCTACATGAGGATTACATTGTTTATTCACTACTATTCAAAACAAGTGAAATAAAGGGGAATGTAACAATGAAAAATAATACATGTGATGTTTAAAAATGACACAAACATTAAAATGTGGAATTAAATAAAGTCACGGAAGAAACCCAAACTTGAGAAATGTTAACAGCATCGGGATCAATGAAAACTTAACTCCTCGCACAGGAAGTATACGTGTACTAAAAGAACATCACCTTGATTTTGATTTTTGCCTTCCGGCGTCTGCCATTTTGGATGTGGCCATAGCATTCACCAGAAAATTTGCAAATTATTTTTGCATTCAATTTCCTAACCACTCATCTTCACTAGGTTGTATTCCTAAAAATGATGTTACAATGGCTAAATACAAATCAAAACTTCAGTCGTAATCACATTTGTTCTATATTTGAGCGTAAAACCGTTTTTGCATCGCAAAGCGACAAATGAATGAGACACGTTCACAACTAGCTCCGCTTTGCCACATCCAGTCGCTGCCATGTTGACACCCGAATCACCAAATCAAGGTGGGCTCTATCTTGATGAACCGTAAAGGCCATCTGTGGTCATACTTGCCAGTGAGTGTCACACATTGGTGATTATGGCCTTACTTTGAGCTAATGAATCATGCTTTCTTTTAACTGTCCATCATAATCTATATACTTCGTTTTTTTTTCCATCAGTTATTTTCCAACACCACCAAGAGAGGTGGCAATGAGCAAAGTGAGGCTGTCACTAGTGCTGTGGAGGGTTCAGCATCAAACAACCAGGACGGGACCTGAGGAGGACCACTTCCTCAGGAGACATCGGCCATCTATGTTTCATATCCTTGGCTGCTTCATCTATCAGTGAATAGCATTATTTCACCTGTTTTTCCTTCTTATGTTTTTTTTTCTTCCTTTTTCCAAAATAGAATTGGGGAATTTTCCTTGGCCCAAAAAAGGGGGTTTAGACCAGGGGATGTCGTTGGATCTCTCAGCGTTGGTTTGTGAATCCCCTTTGCGAATGCTGTGTGATGAAAGGTTATATAAATAAACTTGACTTGAAATGTGCTTCTTGAATGAGCCCGTCTTGACCTATACTTACTTTAAAGCATGCGTGAATGAACAGAGGAACAACAAAACTATGTTGTATGTGGCTTACAAAAGTATTCGGCCCCCTTGAACTTTTTGACCTTGTGCGACATGTCATGCTTCAAACGTAAAGACATCAAATTGGATTTTTTTGAAAAGAATCAACATCAAGTGGGAGGCATTCATGAAGTGGAGCAAAATTCACAATCTTTGCACTTTTTTAGAAATAAAAAACTGAAAATTTGGGAGTGCAAAATTATTCAGCCCCCCCAGAGTTAATACGTTGCAGATCCACTTTTTCTGCATTTACAGCTGCAAGTCTTTTGGGGGAGGTCGCTATCAGTTTTGCCCATTCTTCCTTGCAACAGTTAGATGAGAGCGTTTGTGATCAGCAGTTTTCAGATCTTACCACAGAGTCTCAATGGGATTCAGGTCTGGACTTGGACTTGGCCATTCTAAAACCTGGATTTGTTCAGTTTTGAAACATTATATTGTACATTTTGCTTTATGTTTAGGATCATTGTCTTGTTGGAAGATAAACGTCTGCCCCAGTCTCAGGTCTTTTGCAGACTTCCAAAAAGAGCCAAATACAGGACCAATCTATCTACCCATCAATTTTAACCATCTTCTGATAGTCCCTGCTGAAGAAAAGCAGCTCCAGACCATAATGCCACAACCATGTTTGACATTGAAGGTGGTGTGGTCACCAAAAAAAAAGTTTAGCATTTTGCCCAAAAAGTTCCATTTTGGTTTCGTCTGACCAGAGCACACTTGGTTTGTCTCCCGGTGGCTTATGGCAGACTTCAAATTGGACTTTTTATTGTTGCATTTGAGTAATGCTTTCTTCTTGACACTCTTCCATAAAGGCCAAATTTGTGCAGTATGCAACAAATAGTTGTCCTATGGACAGATTACCCCTCCTCTGTTGTTGATCGCCGCAGTTCATCCAAAGTGATCATGGGGCTCTTGGCTGCATCTCTAAGCAGTGCTCTCCTTGTCTGGGCTGAAATTTTAGAGCAGGCGTGACCAACATGGTGCCCGTGGGCACCAAGGAGCCCTCAAGGACTACATGAGTCGCCCGCGGGCCTATTCCAAAAATAGCTCACCAGTGATTAGACCAGTGGTTCTTAACCTGGGTTCGATCGAACCCCAGGGATTCGGTGAGTCGGTCTCAGGGGTTCGACGGAGCCTCTGCCATGGAGGGTAAGACACACGCGACTCAACATATCAATCAGTTATGGCACCGCCGCTTGGCCATCACTGGCTGCAGATGATCACATTGCATTGCTTGTCCAATCAGTGCTGTGGGAAATTTAGTTTGGTTAATCGTCAACGTGTGACTGTCGTGATAGTACGTCATACAATCAAAGAAAAAAAAAAGTATACTTATGTCTTGAAATTTTATTAACTTTTTTATGTTTTTCATAAATGCGTTTTTTTTAATATCTTGAATTTGTAAAAAATATATATATTTATTTTTCACTCATGAAGGGTTCGGTGAATGTACATATTAACTGGTTGGGTTCAGTACCTCTAAAAAGGTTAAGAACCACTGAATTAGACACTGTGACTCTCCGGGGATATTGTCGAAGTGATCATTTCAAAATGTGAACATGAGCAGACATTTATCATAAGGTGTGGCCAATTGTTTCATTTTTCTCATTATTGTTAGAAATCGCTAACGCGAGCAGTGTTTTCTCAGAAATGAATATCATTCATCATTAATTATAACATATGAAGGGAGTTTGAGCAAATTAATTTCAAAAGTGCATACTATCAAAGTGGGAGCCCTCCGATTTAATCAGGAGCCAAGAATATAAATTTCAATATAAATGTTCAAAGAGTGCTTTGCAAGATGTTTAAAGCTTGTGTAAGCTTTTTATATCCCAATCCTGCATTAAACTTATCCACAACCGTAACTTAAACCACCTCGGTGTGTCCCTTACGTCTTTTTTGTACTTTGTGCGTTTTAAACCTCAGAAACTATCATCGAGCAGGTGCATTTATCCTGAAATTAATTACACACAGTTGGACTCCATCATATCAGTCATTTAGGTCAACATTGGCTCATTCAGAAATCCTTAAGAACCTTCTGGAGTGTGTTGACTGCAATAACAGTAAAAGAGACGAATAATATAACACGTGCCACTTTTCCATTTTTTTAAGAAAGTTTCAAATATCCCATGAATTTCATTCCACTTCATAACTGTGTCCATTTTGGTGTTGCTTCTTCACCCAAAAAAAAAAAAATCTAAATTTCTAACTTTATATCCTTATGTTTGAAGGACAACTTGTATATATTAAAATTTGAGCTCGGACTGGCACCCAAAATTCCCGTTCCCTCATCATGTTCACTTTCTGTGCATTACCAGCACCTTCTTTTCATTGGCGGTAATGCACTCAAAGTATTTGCCAACTACCAAAAGACAGTAAATGAATAAAAATAAATAAAAATGAGAAACAGAAGAAAGAAGGAGAGGTAGTAGGAATAGTAGTAGTCGTCGTCATCGTCGAAGTAATCATAGATGACTGCCGGTGACCACCTTTCTTTATAGCGTGCTGAAAAACGTGATGGTAATGCACTAACAGTATATGCCAAGCACCAAAAGAGTGTCGAAGAAGAGAAGGAAGCTGAAGAAGAGTAGTCATGGCAACAAATGTGTGACATATAGCTCGTTCAGTGTTTCCCAATGCCACAGCAAGGATTTACAACACTAAAAGGCATAATAACTGAACAGGCTTCTACTTTTGGCCACAATGTGACTCTGGATTCTTGTTGAGGTCAGCCATGTTAAACTAAAAAGAAAAACTTTGCCATGTTTCTAAGTTTTTGACCATCAATACGGGTGGATCCGGAAATTCACTCTGACGCCCTAACAAGACTCTGAGAGTGCGTGTGTTATGAGAGGCTGAGTCGTTCCCCTCCCATTAATTTCTGAACGCAGTCCATGTTATAAAGCAATCAGCAGCTCGTGCTTGAACTGTTTCATTTCCTTATACTGCCTGATATGCTGGGCTCAGACACTCCCTTATTGGGGCACTCTGAATGACCAAACATCACTCCAGAGTATATTTCCAAATGCACCCATAACTAGGGTACAGGGATTTTGGGTGGAAGTTACAGTTCACCTGTTTTTGGTCTTTTTTTTTTTTTTTTAAACAAACAAATCCCCCCCTAAAATGCTCCTTCTATTTCGGAGCGACTTATGTTTTTTTTCTTCTTCATGACATATTTTTTGACTGGTGCGACTTATGCTCCGGGTGATTTAAAAATCCGAAAAATCTGGTCTGTTAAGTGTGTTGTGTCGATATATGAGTGCATGTGTATGTGCAGGTCGGGCAGAAACCGCCAATGGCCAAATGTTGTCAATTTAATATTTTTTTCACAACTCTATCAGCACCCTAGTGGATTTTTACAAACATGCCGTCTTTATTTTGATAATTCCTTAAAAGAGCTATTTTTGGAGATATGAGGATTCCACCCTATGCCATATCAAAAATAGTAATTCACAGCAACTACTTCAAAGCTCTGAAAGGTATTCAAAGTGCACTCTGAAAAAAAAGACAAAAAAGAGGAGAGAGGGATAGAATACAAAATAAACCGAACCTGTGTCGGTGGATCTGAAACTAGAGGAAAGCCATTCAGACAGAGAGGGAAACAAAGCTGTTGTACTGCTGTATGTTTCTCTTTAGGATGTCGGAGCAGGGGCCGAGGACTCTCTCAAACCGTGGCCGATCCAATTTGACACACTTGAGGGGGCCACATGCAACAACAGTGGCGGCACGAGGCCGGTTCATCAGTAGGGCAATCTCTCCTGAAAATAAGATAGACACACTTTAACACTGGTACATAAAATGTTGTTATGCTATTTTAAATACTTATGATCAGCAAGTTTTTAAAACAAAAAATTCTTTAACTGTGTTTGGACTCTACTGTGATTTCTAATTTTTTACCAGTAGCACTGTTTGTGTTAAAATCTCAATGTCAAACACAGTAGAGGCTTTATTTTTTTTCAGTTTTGCTGCTGACACCAGCAGGCCCAGGAGAGGAACACAACAAAACCATGGTGGTCTTGGCTATTTTTTTAGCAAGGAAAACAAACAGTCTAACACGTAAATGCAAAATGAGAACCTTGAAAGCAGATGTAGGATGTACGAAAGTAGTCAAAGTACTACAGACTTGCCACACAGTGGATACTTGGAAAAAGTGTGATTGATTGTGAAAGGTTTCAGCACATTGGTTGGCAGCCTAAGCACAGACATGATTTGTTTTTGTGATTTGCACGTCAGGGCCGCTGTACCCAGGTGACTTGCTGCAATGGCTAAACTGCGACCCCTGGTGTTCTTATGGAGAAACAAAGTTTGGATGTGCCACATACAGTATTACATTATTGAACAACAAACAACAAGGCACAATTGTCAAAGGGAAAAAAGTGTCTTGCTCTGGCCACTGCAGCTACATAGTAAAAATACAATAAGAACAAACGAACAGGAATAAATTAGAGAGTGTGGATATTTGAAAGGCTGTTGACAATAATAGACCCATTCATTTACTGTGCTTGGGCAAGATACTCTCTACACTTTGATTTTTTTTTGCCAGAGTTAAAAATTGCATTATAAATATAGTTATGCATTATTGCAAAACACAATATATAAACCGTTTTGGTATAGCTTGCAGGGAGCCCACTGGACATTGCTTGGTAAATGAAAACGTTATTTTTCAAACAGAAATTTTGAATCACAGCAATAAAATGAATTGGTGTGTGAGATTAGATATAGTTGGGCCTCATCACATGGAAGAATATTGCATTACTGAAACAGTTTTGCAAAGTGTAATGGTCCAAAACAGTTCCTCGCGACTGTTGTGCAAGTCTGGTCTGCAACTACAGGGAATGTTTGGTTGAGGTTATTGCTGCTAAAGAAGGTTTAACCAGACAGACAGACAGACAGACACACACACACACACACACAGATTAACAATGACTAAAGGCTCGGTACAGAGCATCTGGGTGAACACCAGCTCCATTAGCTGACCATATCTGAAAGCGACCACAGATTGTGACCACAGGACACCAGCATGGAGCCCCCAGTGCAACACTCTAACATGAGCCAAGTAGGCGACTGAGGACCCCATGTGGCAGAAACACACAGATCGCAGTTCCCACTGTGAGGTCGATGCACGAACCATTCCACGCCAATATCAAATCAATGAAAACTAAAATGATTAAAAACAACTAATTATAAGAACAGAATGAAGATGAAATAAAACTAAAAATAAAATGATGAAAATCAAAGTAAGTTAAAATCTGTAAATAAAATAATAAACATAACTTCAAAGCTAAATTCAAAACGTGGGTCTCGAAACTGCTTTTATAAACAAGAATGTCTTATTGCGGCCCTCAGTGATGTGGCAGGCAACATGAGTTTGTGTCTTTGTGTCATTAAACTTGCTGTGGCAGGGTGCCTGGATGGGAAGATGTGTCAAAGTATGTATAAATGCATTCAGACACACTGTGTTAGGGATGTTTTCAAGTGATGTATTTAAGATACTCGATAGTTCAAAATTATAAACTGTATTGATTCCCTTGTAGAATAGATGATTAATGGCAGGGTTTGGTAGAGGTAAAGGTTTTCTGCTTGACTGGAACTTACCAAAGTAATCTGATGGTCCAAGTTTGCCAACTTCCACAAACTCCTGATCCTCGGACCGCCTTTGCAGCACTGCTGCTGTCCCCTAATACCACATCAAACATTACTTGAATTACATTTCAAATAAATGTAATGTGAAAATATAATAGGTGGAGTGTATAATCGCAACCTCTTGATGTAATGTAAACGCAATCTATAAATGTATCATTACATTATGGTGTATGAAGGGTGTCTGGCATGAATGCAGATTTCTGCAATAGCTGCCGGTCATCCCTCTCACTTTAGCTGGGTGAATATTGAATCAGAATTGTGCACTGGGATATGCAGTTCAAAATCACCCTCAGAAGATGGTGTTTACCTCCAAGATGATGAAAAACTCATCACCGGGCTCTCCTTGCACAACAATTTTCTGGTCATCCTCAAACTGCACCGTCTCTAAGGCATCGGCCACAGTCAGGCGCTCCCATTTGTCCAAAGACTCTGTTAACATGGTCAGGAAATATGAAGCATGCACTAAAAACGGGAAACTTAATCTCTAAATGCAAAATAAATATTTACACTCACCTAAAATAGAAACTTTGCTCAGGAACTCCTCATACATCTTCCGTTTCCTTAAAGTGCTTCCCTACAAATCAAATACAAAACATCTTTGATACATACAGTCGATGTGTACACATTGTATATGTGTATATATGTATAATATGTTCGTGTACATAATGGGCCTAGTGCAGGGATGTCAAACTCATTTTTGTCACGGGCCACATTGTAGTTACGGTTTCCCTTGGAGGGCCATTATAAATTTTGGGAAACCATATTAATGTGTAGCCCTTGTGTTATAATTTCTACAATTTTTGTAGATTTTTGCGTATTGTCATCTTTAAATCAAAGACAAAGCATAAAAATTGTGTGATATGAAATATTCCAATTCATGTTTTATTTATATAGATTTATATTTATGTTTTGGTCATAGCACAATACCGCTTTTATTGTCCGTAGAGGGCAAAAATACAAAGAAAAAAATAAGAACTATATGTGTATGTATAGCACTGATGCCACTGAACATGTCGAGTGGTTGAAAGTAAAATAAATATTCAGGAATAATACTTTTACAATTTTTGTAAAATTGTATGTTGCGTTATATAAACTTATTTACATCGACTGCAGTACATGGGTTTAATCACTTCCACATATTACATACACAGCGCACAACTAATTGGTGGATAACTAGTTTTAAAATCAGAAGTCAAGAATAATGACTGTTATTGTGGATTACATACGACAATTTGAAATTTTGGTTCAGAGTTTAGCAAGCATCATGGAACTTGACATGCTTGGTTTGCTTTCGCGGGCCACATAAAATGATGTGGCGGGCCAGATTTGGCCCCCGGGCCTTGACTTTGACACATGTGGCCTAGTGTATGTATGTACCGTATGCATGTGTACATGCGTGTATAAAATTTAATCAACAATGCAGTTATTAATATTAGCATGCATTGTGAAAAAGCACTGCTTACCATAAGTATTCTCCTGTAACTGTCTCTGTCAATGCCCCACAACTTGACATCAGACCTCGCGCGAACAGTAGCTGCCCGTGGGGTCCCATAGATCAGAGCAAGCTCCCCAAAACTTCCACCTTCACCAATGCTGGTGACCCACTCGTTGTTCACATATACCTGCAAGGAGATGCACCAAGCTTGCAGTCACTATTATCCACCACAATTAAGTGTTATATTAAATCCATGTGTAAATGTACACGATCTCGTTTGGTACAGTTGCTTTTGGCATTTTTGATAATGTTACCCAGTTATAGACCACTATACATTCAAACGTATCTGTTAGAGTGGGTTTCTCAGAAGATCTGCCTGTTACTGTTTAAAATGCAATTCTGAGTCAGACCTATCCACTCCTAAAATAAGCACTCAGTTTCAAAATGGTTGGTGACCGCTACGGCATAGGAGTATCTTTTCTGATGTCGTTCTTTATGTTTCATACGTTGCATCATGATAGTGTGTTGCAAAAAAACAAAAAAAAAACAGCTTATTTGACATGTATCATATTTTCCACATTAGAAGGAACACCATGAGAAGGAATTTTATTTAATTGAAAATATGTACAAAAAAGGAAATAAAATTGTTGAAAAGAAAAATGTTTTATTCTGAATAAATAGTTGGGAGATCTCGTTTCAGAGAGTGACGTTGCATATGCAGCAAGTCACAGTTTCAGCCAGCAACAAACACACGCACGCACGCACGCACGCACGCACGCACGCACGCACACACACACACACACAAAAGCCAGTGGTACTATACAAACAAAGACTGGAGGAGAGAGGGCTTGTCGCATTTTGCTATTTGCAATTAACTATGTCCTTGCAACTCACTACTCTGTTTGCATGATAGCGTCTGGTGTTGTTTTATTTTAAGTAGTAACCTTCACATGCGACACTGCTAGGAGGCAGTGCTACTTCAGTGATGTAGAGAGAGCGCATGGGTTTTGGAGGGAGTTCGGTGGTTGTAATGAATCTGAGGAGAGCAGTTGCTAAATAAAGAGGTCTTGAGTTGAAATACAAGTTAGTTTTCAAGGTAACGCCGGTAGCAGAGGATGGTGAGCAACCACAGAGTTCTGCCACCTTTTTAAGAAGGAAAACTCTACGAAAGCTGGAAAGATGAGGTTGGAATTTGGACAAGAGTCGCACACCAATAAGCTCTGAGCTGGTGTACATTAGCCTGTTGACTGTTCTGACATGCCCCCTTATAAAAAGCCGAGCAAATGTATGCTGTAAACAGTTGCACCCAAAAATATTAACATAATCTTACATCCATTTCTCCCAAGTCGATAACATAGAAGTTGTCTCCCTCATCACCTGAAACAGGAAAAAAATAATAGGAGTTTGTGAGGTTTTGTGTGACGAGTGATTTTAGGCACGACACTTCGACTGTATGAACAGAGAGTGAATTTTAATATAACTGAATCAACGCTATTTTTGGGGTAACACCTTTACCTTATTCGTAAATACATATTGACAGCACTGCTAGGAAAGCAGAGATGTAAACAACACTGCACCTTACACTATATTAAAATATACATAACAAGAGTGTACATTCCTTGAAAACTAGCTTTTTTTCCTCTAGAGATGGTCTTTTATTGTATTTATTTATGTTTTCTTATTTTCATTAAGTTAAAAATATTAATTACATATATATGAACTGACTCATATGAAATAGAGTTTTCAGCCATATCGCCCAGCCCTACCTTGAATGATGACTGTTTCTCCAGCAATGTAGTTGACAGAAAACATGGCATCAAATATGTCACTGAAAGACCAAAAACAATTGTTTGATGAGCAAGAAATGTTCGGGAAGGATTGTTAGCGGCGCACCGACTAGAATGATGTGATACCTTCTCTCGTTGCTGTCTAAGTGGGCAAATAGGATGTTTTTTTCCATGGCTTTGCCCAGAGCTGCCATCGTCTTGTAGTCTTTTGGAATAACCTGGTCGAGAAAGAGAGAAAGCAAAGACAGAGTGTGACTGAAAGAGACTGCAAGAGGGACAGATGAGTGATGTGTAGTGTGGAAATTCATGACAAATTTTGTCAGGATAATCCAGAATGGATTAACCGTATTTACCACACTATAAGACACACCTAAAAGCATTCAACTTTCTCAAAAGCCGTCAGTGAGCCCTATAATCGGATGGGCCTAATATAAAGAGACGTAACTCTCTTTCTATTCCCCATTGAGTTGTTTCCCTGTTAGTGTTCCGACGCCATCTAGTGGTGATTATTAGCAGGAACCAATTGTAACCTTAAAGGGTTCTGCCCAAAATTAATTGACAAGCGCATTCGCCAACACACACTCAAACCAACAACTACTTGGTTAGCTCTGCGCAGCCATGATGAACCAAAGATAATACCAAAAGCATAGTTAACTACTGACCAAACAAAGGAAGGAGACAAGTAAGACTTCTCAGGATATTTAGCCCTTGTGGACGTGATGCCACAAGGTTTGTGTGGCTTTTTGTTGAATCAATGGTCTTCCTTTCTTTGGTCTTTCATTTATTGTTTTGTAATGCCATTTGTATTTATATGTTTCATGTCCATGTTTGAGACCAGTTCTCATGGCTTTGTTGGTTGTGAAGGCTCTAGCTACATAAAGCTGTATTGTGTTGTATTCCTTTAGCATAGCACCATCTAGTGGATGCACAGCACAACCGCAGCCACTATTGTAGCTGCACCTTATAATGCAGTGCGCCCTACATATGAAAACAGGTTTAAAATGGGCCATTATTCGAAGCACCTTATATTCTGTCGTGAAAACAAACAAACATTGCAACTGATATTATTAATATGTTATACTACTTGTACATTCATATACTTTGACATTTATAGGCAACTCCTCCTGTTTGACATATGGCGCAGCATATCGTAACACATTTTCAGTTCCGGTTCTGTTCAGCAAGTAGATTTTATCTCGAGACACTTACCGGTATTAATTTTCCTGCTACTTTGTTACTCAATGTGGGCCAATTTCAGTCTACAATTTAGTCTCAAACAAAACTCCACATTCACAAACACAGCCTTTAACAAGGTTCCAGCCAGACATCTGTTTAAAGTGGACTCAAACATTACAAACACCTAATTCTGACATTAAAAACACACTACTTGTGTCAGTGTTAGGTTAGCCTAGCAATTAGCGTGGCTTCTCAGTTTTTCCTCATCATCCCTTCAGTATGATACTTGTCAGATCTGTAGCTAAATCACCACCATGGAGGTGAAGATTATTGACAATTAGTAGCCAGTAAAACTTGTTGCTATCTAGCTGGTTGTGGCCTAAGCAGCCCCGAGCTTGCCTCGACGGCCTACGTCCCGTGCGTAGGTGACATTAGGGCGTTGCGGCAGCATTAACACGAGTGCGTCCAAATTCTGTGATTCTCAATTTTGCTATTCAATGTGTATTGATGATGCACAACATGCAAATTTTGACCTGCAAAGTATCTACCTTGACCAACTCTTGTGCAAAACAGGGATGTGTGTTGTATTCTCACTGGAGAGATTTCTGGTTCTTTCAGTTTAACCAGTGAAGATAAATTGCAAAATATATGGCAGACAGAAGGATTATTTTCTTGGTCGGTGACCAATTCATCCTGCGCATTACTGCCACTGTTTGTTTATCAGATGTACACTTTGCTGTGAAGCAGTTTACACTGCAAACATGACAAAAGGTGCCCAACTCAAACATCCATCCATGTGACATTTTTACATGACACACAAATGAGAACATTCTCAAAATAAAACAGAAAAGACCAAAAACATTCAATGCCCAATGCAAGGTAAGCTAGTCCAGCATTCACTTCTATGTGCAGATTTGCAGCGGTGCATTTTAGCACTGACCTTTCTGACATAAGAGGCAGCGTCTTCCTCTGTGTACACCTCAGCACTGATAGCGCCCCTTCTGC